GAATCGACCGTGAGAGAGCCTTGGAACGAGAGAAGAAGGAACAGGAGGAAGCCATCCGCAGGGCAGCGGAAATGCGCGCCGCCGCGCTTCAACGGAAACAACAAGAACAGCAGACGCGGCAGCAACAGCAGCATCTGCTGAAGATGAACAAGAAAAAAGTTCAGAATGCCATCAAGACTCAGCAACGAAAGGGGACTGGTAACAAACCCATTGTTGTTAATCAGCCTGTTACTTTAAAGCCTGCTGTGACTCCACCAGTACCCCTAGGAGCTCTGCGTCGAACTCTACCCGCCGTGCGCCCCGCTGTTCCCAAGCCCTCCGGGATCCAATCCGCGGGATTAAGACCGCAGATTGTACCACGACCCACGGTTGCCAATTCGACACAATCTGTGCAGTGGTTACAGCCCAAACCTCAGGTTTCTCAGCGTGTTCCTACTTCTGTGATTCCAAATAACGCGTCACGTGCTGCTGGGACTCCTCTTCAAGGCGGATTAGCGAGTAACACAGGTAAATTAAAATGATTGAATCTACGTCACAATTGTAGACAGATGAAAAAATATCAAGACGAGTCGGAACGGACCAAAACGTAGATCTGAAGCGAACCTTAGCAGTTACAAGGACACTTTGTTCTCTTTGTTTGATTTTTCACTTGGTAAACACAAGGCTATGCTCGCCCAAATGCAAACGCATTTTTCGTTGTTGTAACCGACTGAGAAGTATAGGTGTTTCTCATTTGATTAGTCTGATAATAATTCTTCATCGCCGTTAAGTTTCATCTTACATTGCAATAATTTGTCTTTCAGTTACTCGCCCTGCCCCTGCAGTGCCCTTGTCCACAGTTGCCGGAGTCCGGTCCAACCCTATGGCAACATCCAGGATGAAGCATTCCTCTAAAGATCAAGTCAAGCAGACAGTCAAGACAAAATCTCGCAAGGGGGGAGGGGCTATGCCCATGTTGCATCATAAAAAATATGTGACTTTAGAATCGAGACAAGACGTGAACAGGTAAGTATCTAAATTTAAATCAAACTGGGAGTTGAGGTTTTCATTTTCTTTCAAAAGAGTTACCCTCAGTTGTAGCGCTAAAACAAATCAAGGCTTAAGATTTCACGCGACAACTGACTGCAACATCCTCTCTTTTCGGCGATGCAGCAAAATTTTGCTGATTCTAGCAGTATCCAGAGAGATAGTCGTCTGTGTACTTTGAATTACCAACAATAACTCGCGCTGAGTTCTCTGTAACCCACAAGTCAGAGCCGGCATCACACCATCAAACAAAGGGTCACTGATGGGATCCTGTCGACGGCCTAAAATTTTTCTTTGCTTCACCCTAGCGACATGTGAAACAAGCACCATTTTAACCTAATCAATATTTTGTGTTTCGAATCACTTTTTATGGTAATAATTTCATTTAGAAGCATAACCTTTTTATGTCTGTATTCAGTGATAACTTGTACTTCCCTTTTTATCAGGTCCTACATTTTTTGTTGTTATTCTTTAGACTTGCCATTTGTCGAAAAGTTCTTGATGGCATTTTGGATAAGATTGATCGAAATGAAGATGCTGAACGGAAAAAAGAAGAGAAAAAACGCGCAAAGGAAGAAAACCAGGCACTTAGACTGGAACGACAGAAAGCAAACAAACTCAGTATTTTACTTCAGAAGCGAAAGGAGGCGCTTAAACGGGAATTGATGCGTAAAAGGGATCTCCTGGAGAGAGATCTGATATTAGAGCTTCAGCAGCAGCAGCGGACCATAAAGAACAAACGAAAGCAGGGGGCTACAGAGAGAAGGAACTCACAGAGTACACCAGAAGGGCCCAAGGCCAAGAAGAAGAAAATTGAAGAAGAACGACTCTTTTGCATTTGTAAAAAACCCTACGACCCATCCCAGTGAGCCTGAGCTTTTGTTTCTTTTTCGTTGTAGTAATTAATGTTTATTGGATATTGGTAGATAGATATCAGGTGGATAACATACTGTCACAGTTTTCGAAAAAGTTTACAGTCGTTTATTTTTACTGCCTCAGATTTTACATCGGATGTGACATGTGTGCAAACTGGTTTCACGGAAGTTGTGTCCAGATCTCTCCGGACGTTGCACGAAGTATGGATGAGTGGACTTGTGCCGAGTGTGCCCAAGCTCGCCGTGGAGTGGAGGAGGAAGAACTCTATTGTTTGTGTCGCCAGCCATATGACGAGAAAAAGTAAGCATGTGTTATGTTGGTTCAGCCGATATTTTATTTAGATATGTAGATATAAAGGACAGTCACTTTAACAGGTTTTCCACGGAGCTGAGCCCAAGACATCGTTTCTTGAGAGATGTTTCGTGCAAATGAAACCATCCCAAGGAAGAAGCTTTGAAATGAAAGTTTTATCTTATCTGCCGTTTTTTATCACAGTGGTCGCTTAGTTTTTATACAGAGCGGAGAAATACTTTTAGAGTCTAGACATTTCTTCATAACCTTATAATTTACTAACCTCAAAGGTTATAATGATTTGTTTTTATCAGGTTCTACATCGGCTGTGATAAATGCCAGGACTGGTTTCACGGAGCATGTGTTGGAATCACACCTGTTGAAGCTGAAAATATCGAGTATTACACTTGCCCGCGGTGCACTCAGTCTCAGGCTCAAGCAAACAAGCAGCCGCTGACCGGCAAAGACTACGATTCACTTAAACGATTGTATAGATCGTTACAGGTTAGTTGAGAGGCAGGATTTTTTTTGTCATTCTGTAAACTATGAAAAGGTGAAAATAATCCTAAATAGGGTCGTGGATGTTTAGGAATGGTGAACAGTAAGACTGATGCATTGGCATACATGTCAATTTGGGCTCAATGTTTTACGATGCAGAAATTTTGGCATATCTCCATAAACATTAAGTCAGAAGTTTTAATGCTGATGTTTTAACGCCTCATTCATGTCGCAGAGTCATAAAATGGCGTGGCCTTTCCTAGAGGGTGTCAATGCAGACGAGGTTCCCGAGTATTATGACGTCATCACTGATCCAATGGGTGAGTCGATTCATGTATGCCTCAGGAAATGGAAAAAAAGTATACAAGATTTTGTGCCTTTTTTTAAGCGACATTCTTTATGTTTATGGTCAATTAATTGTAGCCTTATTGTTTGCAAGTGCTGTCCTTGTCCCAAGTGGTAAGGAGACTTTTCACGCCAGGCTTTGCTTTCGTCTTTCTTGCTTTCTTCGTTTTCTATGAGGTCGGTAGAATTTACAGAGATGACTTCTGTTACTGCTGTTACCAACGCTTTTTCTTTAAATCAAATGATATTTATTTCACAGTATTTCCTCTTTTTCTTGCTAGACTTGTCCAAAGTCGAGGAACGTCTGAATTCCAAGTCTTACTCGTGCCTGGAATCGTTCGTCAGTGATGTAACCAAGATTTTTGACAACTGCCGCTACTTCAACCAGAGAGATTCACCGTACTACCGCTGTGCTGAAGTATTGGAAAGCTTTTTTGTGCAAAAACTACGGGCGTTGAAAACCAGAAAATAGACTGGTCAGCGAATGCTTCTATCTAATGTTAACAAAGGTGGCGAAGAAAACTTATCCTCCTGACTGACAATCGGAACAAAAGTTAGCTACACACTTCGTCCTCTTGGACAGTCGTAGTGTATAAACTGCGACGTCTTCGACAAAAACAGAAAAAAAAAGGCGATGTTCTTAAAAAAAAAAAAAAGATGATGATAAATTAGCTGAATTTGCCTTCGATCACAGTTTGACGAAGCCATGTATCTGATTGGTTATTGTGCAAGCCAATCATATAAGCAAACGCTCACATTCCTTCTTGAGATCAACTATGGGTTGTAAGTTATTTAAGGGAAGTTAAGGGGAGATAGAAGCTTCCCCAAAGACTCATCTTGGCGAAAAACTGTTATTATGGAAGGAAAAATAGATTAGCCTGTTAACTATTGCCGTGTCTCAGACCTATTAAATTGAAGGAAACTAAAGCGTCCGTAATTGCCGATGTCGTAATATTTTTGGTTTATTGTCAAGAAGGAAATCGTGTAGACCAACCATCATGTATTAAACAATTTGTAATCAAATTCGACTGGTTTCTTGGTACAACAGCCCTGAACTACATATTTCTTTGCGTTGTATGAAAGAGCCATAACCGAAACACTCAAATAGCCTGTTATTTTTGACCCCGTTCCTATCAAATTTGGTGTGCGGTTTTCCTTATTTAAAGCTTGTTCAGTGCTTTTGTTCTTCCCTTGCAGTGGTTTATGGTCGTGCTGTTCTTTTTATTTAGCGCACTGAATAAAATGAAGGCTCTTCTGCCCAGTTACGACTATCAAGAGAATGTAAGATTGTTACCCGATTAATGAGAAAATACGAGAATATGTTACCCGACAATCAGTAGAATATGAGGTTGTTACCCGGGCTGGTTAAAAAATTAAGGGGAACATTTGTGTCGAAGTTCAAACATTATTTTTACTAGTGACTGACAAGCCGTAAATTAAAGGGTGCTATAAATTTTTCAATGGGTGAAACAGTGACGGGTTTCTAGAAGTAGATAAATTAAGTTGAAAAAAATATATTGAACGGTCCTTGTTAAAGGTGCCATGAATCGTGATTTTACTATGTGCTGGCAGATAAGGAAAGTCACTCATTGTATTGATCTGGTTGCCCGAGCTAATAAACCACAAGGAACCTTATCTTAGCTTTTGATCTTTCTTTCATTTCCATATCTGTTTTTATATCGATAGTTTTGGTAACTGAACAAATCCGACAAGAAAACCATGTATTTAGGTACTTTATCGAGAGACCATAAACTAAAGGTGTAGAAAAACTTCACCTGAGCTATGTTTGCGATAAACAAGAAACCCGATTTAAAATGACTCAACGAATGTTTACTCTTCAGGTTATCCTTTCATCTTATTATCAACAAATTTTGGCGGATATTACGAAAGATTTGTGCCTATTTCCGTTTGACAGCAACAAATTACTTTTAATTAAGAAACGCCCTACAAAGCCGATGTGCTTCAGTAACCACACACTACCAGAACTATATACTTACGTGTTCAAGACATTGTTTCCTCTACGGGAGAAGATAGATAACGTTTAAAATATGGCATACAGCACTGGAATTATTCTTGTCCTTCTCTGTTTCTCCTCGTTTACTGCTCATGGTAAGCAAAGTTTGTGGTCTAATCGAATCTTTCATAATTTTTCTGTTTATTTTAACGCTTACATTCGTGCAAGAGAAAGTTCCGAGTTGAAAGGCGAACTAAGAATTGGAGAATTTTGCTCTGATTTAACTAGAAAAGCCGTGACCTGCAAGGAATAAAAAACGCCGATGTATCTTAATGGGCAACAGTGGGCCAAGCTTTAATTGCATCACATTTTTTCGAACGAGTGATAATAATAACAGTAACAAAACTAAATTCAGATTTGATGTGAAAATGTTTTCAAATCTATTTGTTGTAATACGTGCCAGAGTCCAGTCTTTCCATCTCAATAACACTTGTCGGATTTCAGGCTAACTTTTCCTTAACGGTTAACTTCGGTCAAACGCCAAGGTGTATACTTGTGTCAGTGTCTCTCCGCATTTTACTCTGGTTTGGAGGTGGATCCGTTGCATATCGAAAAAGCCATGCCGGGTAAACAATGGACAACAACAACAAAATTCAAATTTAACTCGGATAGGGCTTAATCCCGAGTCTGTTTAATTTCCCAGAGTTTCAGACCAGCACCCACTTATTTGCTTGACATCGCTAATAAATCAGTCATGATGTTAGTAGGACTCATTAATTATTTTTTGTGTTTTTAGCCCAGTAACAATGGTAGTTAGGGATGAACAAACATGTCCCACTTTCTTTCCAAAGTGAATGTAATCATGCAAACGATTACAATTACTTATATGCATGTGAAATCGTCTCTTTCTGATCACGTTTAATAACCGAATAAGAAGACCCAAGAAAAACAATTTTCTCATCATGCTATATGACAGCAAACGGTTGTCAACTCAAGTCATAACTTTATTGAGACAAGGGTTATCAATGAGCAGATGACGTTCTAAACAACCGAGTTACTTGTAAAAGGTAAACTGCGCATATCTTACTCTGTTCAAGTCTCATTTATTCGGGATCAATTCGTTCAAATCCTCGACTCTTGGCAGGGTCTTTTCAATGAACGAATCGTGATAAAAAATAAACACACGACTTGCTTTACAATGACTCTGCTTATCGTGTTTTCTTACCCATTGAAAGCTTCGTGGACTAAAATATCCGGATACAAATTCATCAGCGGAATCAGCGTGGGCTCAGAAACCACTTACCACAGTGATATAGCTGGTGCGAGGCCTCTCTGCCAACAGAGATGCGACCAATTCGCTTCCTGTAACGCGTTCCGTCTGTACAGCTTTGTGGGTACAGTGTTCTGTACTCTTTTTGAAACTATCAGTGATTACTCATGCCCGACTGATAGTACTGATTGGAACTGCATGTTTGCTGACGGGGAGTCGTGGAAGAAAAGCGACTTGAGGAGATAGAAGGTAAAAGGCTCTATTTACGCGTTGCGTACTTATACTTAAGGTTTCCAAGACAATTTCTAGGCCATAAATAATCTGTAACCTTTATGAAATAACTCCAAAATCGTGTTAAACAACCTCTCACATGATAAAAAATTGTTAGTTACGATATAAAATTCTAGACTTTCCTCACGTTTCTACTCAACAGTATGTTAAAATGTTAGGAATATTTACACATCATGGAGTAATCCCTTCAGGCCTCTCTTCGAGGGGGGTGGGGGGTGCGGTCGCAGCTTCCCGGAGAGGTTAACAGTCAATTTTCCTTTAGAAGGTATTTCGAACGGACAACTAAATTTCTCAGCGAAAACATATATTGACCGACCTCCAATTCACAAAAGGAATTAATTTTCAGAAACGTGAATCCAGCCTCATTTTTGAGTATCGTCATGATAATATTACAAGGGATCGTTGCCGATAAACAAGCTGCGGATTCTTCTTGACGAAAATTTTTGACTTCTAGCGACACACTCAGCTGATGTAACACCTGTACTTTACTTTTTCTTTTACAGACAAACGACAAGTGGCTTTCCTCACACACATTTAGCGGCTCCCATTATACAGAAACATTAAAACTCGTTTCTCATATTGTTTTTTTGAACTCAACTTTGCCCGTCTTTATTTACAGTTCTTACTAGAAAAGTCCATCAACATTTGTCCAATGAAATCGAGGTGCAAAAAGTGCTGATAGTATTTACCGATCCAAGAAACAGCGAGGTCGAGATTCCGCCATTTTTTTCCGCAAATGATACTTACTTGTCAACTTTCCGCTCAAAATAACAATCAAAAACAGGATAAATAAAGTTCTCTTTCGCGGCTAACCTTACTCGATTTGGCTTTTCTATTCACTGTTGTTCGATAGGTCTTGGGGAAAAACGGCCTAAACAAGAATTTGTCCATTTAAGCCCCGTTCAATCGGTCATGATAGTTGATGATGGTTTTAACTATCACGCGCGTTTGAACACCAACTATCGTACTCTATCATGACAGTTTGAACAGGGCTTTATAATATTCTCCTGGGATATTTACCAATAAGCCTCGACTTCGTCTCCACGATCCAGTCCTCCCGGTCTGCACACAAGCATTTCGTTAAAGGCCTATTCATGCCTAGAAAGGCGTTGGTGGTTGTTCGTGTTTGTGGCCCAGTAGCCCATTAATTCAGGTGCTTAATATCATGACCACTACACTTTTACCACACTACACTATACCTCACATAAATGTGAGGCTGTTAGTTTGCTAAACGCACTCAAGATATTTTCTCACAGTAAATACTGTCTGAAATTTCCACGAAAGTCTTCCAAAACTAACTTTACTTCAGACTCAGTTCAACGCGCCATCTCGGCTAATCCTCCAAAGGAACATTTCTAAACAGATATCCCATTGACTCGCCATTGTGAATTCTGCGGATGGCCTCGGCCAAAAGTGAGCTGATATCCACCGTTCTGATTTTACTACAGCGAGTCATCTTCGTATCATGAGATACTGTGTTTGTGATGACAACCTAATGACAAAAAGAACTCTACGACGTTAGTTCATACCTGGTCGTAAAAATTTTCTTTTATTCAAACTTAGAGTCTTCTGGTGTAGCCCTTAACTTTCAATTGTTTTGCTTCATGGCCCCAAAAATTTTTTCAAAACGGGCTGAAGGAAACTGTGTCTTCGTTTTTGTGTCTTTCGGAAGTTCACGAAAGCGATCTGATAACCTTCCTGTCCCTACAGTGTAAAGCTCCGAGCAGAGGGCGTACAACGCAGTAGATTACTCTGGTGGGGGTGCAATCATAGTAGTCAGTGAATTTAACCGAGCGTCTGAAATAGTGATGTAATTTGACTGAACGACGGAACAAGTGTTATGTCGCGTACGTGTGGTGGCTGTAAAAATATTCTGCGCTTCTTTACGTCATACGAGACACGAAATGATATTTCAGGTTTAAGTTGTCTTATACTGACGCACAAGCGCGTGCGTTCATGTGCTTGCGCGTGCAATGTACTACTTGTTCTTTCTTTAAAAAAAAAATAATGTGTTGACCATAAGAGCCTCAAATCATTCCGACTTAAAAACGCCGAAATAAGCAGTGCTTTAGCACGGGGACGTTTATATGCCGTACAAGGCATTTACATCTCACTAATTTTGACGTGAAACTCCTATTGACATCACGTAAACCGCAAAAGCTGTGTTTTACCTCATCGATCGCGGATTCCTCAATCAGTTCTGGCGCATCCGCTGACAACAGGCCATGAGTGACCATCACTAAAATCTTATATGCCCCACGATCCTTCAGGAGCTTGGCGGCATTTACAAATGACTCTGCTTCGTCTATCATATCATCCTGTAAGTCGGGATACAACAACTTTCAGACTTAACAATTTAGCCTGGTGTAGAAGTGTGTTCATGGCAAGTAAGACAAAGCAAGGCAATATTTATTCACATTGTAAAATTACACAGTAAAGTATAACGTAAATCTAAACGTAGGAACCGTAACAAAGTAGAAAAACTACTGGGTGACCACCATCGCTCATTGTAAATAGACACGCACAGTGATAAGCGGTTTACTGAGCTACATCAACTAAACGTACACATCTTAAATAGGGACAAAGAGAGTCTCCATAAAACGCTGACTTGTGGCTGTCACTGCCCCAACCAATCCAATTTCTAAACCATCAAGGAACTAGGAGTCTTAATACCCTGAATTGAAAGCAAGTCCATCAAAAATTACCCCCTAACTATGCACAATTTCCTCTACCCTTTCCAACCTAACATCAATGGGCATATTCTCTATACATTTTTCTAGATATTTCCTAGGGGGCTAACAAGGAGAATACGTTTAACAATCACGAGCTTCTTAAGTTGGTGATCATTTTATCCATCTGATTGTGTGATTCAGGGTGACATTTTAAGGAGAAATTAAACGAGCACTAATAATTCCTGGCGGTCACGGGGGTAACATTTCACTGGTACTAATTTCTACTCTTAAGTGGAGAATGGTTCTACCAGAGTAAATGTGATAATTAAGATTATGAAATATTTGGGTAAAACTCCAAAATTGTTCATGTAGTTGACATTTTGTTGTTATAAATTGAATACTGTTGGTTTTTAAATTAATTTGATAACTAAGAGTACACCAACAATGTGATAACTACACTACACCACTCAAACATTAAAGCCAACCATGGTGCCGTAAAATACTTAGTCAAATCTTACCACAATGATGGCAATCTTGCCTCCTACATCACCCACAACGTTAATTGGAGGTTTAGCTTTGGGAAGAAATCCTGTGAAAGACACAAGTATGAAAAAATATTGATTGCAAAGGTTTTAGTTCAGCTCTATGAACACCCAACACTATATTCCATAGGATGGCTTAGTGACAGTGTGTCAACACCTGTAAAGCATGGAACAAGTTCATTAGTGTTCAAATGACAAATGTAAATGACAAAAGTGAACCAAGCTGGTTCAGGTAATCTGAAAATATACATACACAAACAAATCAGAATTGAAAGTAAATTGAGAGTCAGAATTTCTGACAGCCAGGTCGAAACTTACCTGGTAGAGACATGCTGTCAATACTGACAGATGCAAAACGACGTCCCTCAGCTAACGTAGGAGGTGGAGACTGACGACCATCAAGTTGCTCACTTTCCATCTCCTTTTGTTCACCATGTATCACAGCCAATCCAAGTCGTAGACGCTCAGCAAAAGAGGTGGCCCTTGAATCATACCATTATTTTAGCAAGTTTATTCAGTGAGTTTATCACTCTTAGAGAAAGATGTTTTTTGTCTTGTCACCAGTGTGGGACAAAGAAAAAATTCTGGGTTCCTTTTAGGAAATGAATCTCAGACCGTGCTTTGATGCTCTACCACTGAGCCACAGAGACTCTGCAGTGGACAAGGTCTATTACAAAGTCCATATTTTCATGTTTACCCAAACTTACCCCCTGACATGTTGTGAAGCAAGGCTATTCATCAAAATGCTCAATACCAATAGCAAGTACTTGGTTGTGTGCACAGACAATCTTTTGCATGGTTGACCTTAGTTTGGATAGAAACCTTTTGGGCTGGTAGAGGTGTCCAACATTATATCAAACTTTTTACTAAATTTTTGAATAGTAAGTTACATTTCCTCTATTACCTGATGGCTGACCCTGGATTCCTTGCAATTATAACTGCATTTCTGTAGTCAGCAACCTTAAATTTAAATATATAGCCACCAAATCAAAAATATTCAAATGCTTTAACTCTCTAATGTGCCTCAAATACTTTCCCAAAAAAATCTGCTGGCAGATTCTTGTTATATCAACAAAAAAAGCAGAAAAACTGATTGTAAAAGAATCTTATCCATGCCATTTTTAGTAAATTTTTTTGCCCATAGGTTCAGAATTGAAAATAAATTCTAGTCCTTCATTATCATCATCAACAACTTGCTGAAAATCAATTCATAAGACAATTGTGATTGAAATTTTGGGTATTTCTCACCCTAAGGCATGTAGTACATCAATTATGAACAGGAAAGTAACTTTCCACCAGTTATTCAATGGTATTCTAAGTACCTTTTCTGTGATATATTGAACTAGAAATGGTGAAGCCCTCAAATTGTCAACTGGAGCATCATAAAACCCCTGAATCTCCTTAGCATGAAGATCAACTGTGATGATGT